ATTAAATATTAGTTATCAGATAATCTTATATATCAGAGATTCTTCACTCAGTGAATCTCTTTCAATCTTCAGATTATATGATTATTAATATATTGTATAGAAGCTTCTGTATTCACTAATACTTTTGCAGTCATCTCTCAATTCTTACTTAAGTGTCTCTTATATATTAACATTTCAGGTCTCAAGGCATTGAGATGAGTATTTACTTCATTATTCTTACTCATATCTTATTCATAAGCCTGCTTCTTCTTTACATTTACAGAATTCAGAGAATCATCTAACACAGACATCTCTTTATTATTATTATTATTATTCTTTCATTATACTCATATGCAAGCGGAGCTTATGATGAGTCCTTGCGTGATGTTAAATACAGGTCAAGTGTTGATTATACAGGAGGAAATACAGGTGTTGAGACCACGCCAAGATAACAAGAACATAGGAAAATACAAAGGAGTGACAATTAGATACATGTGATAATAACTTCCCAGCCCAGGAACATAGAGTGATTCATTGAAGCGATTTGTACACCTCTGTATTTATTAGAAACCTGAGGTGCTTGAGTTCCGGATTTAATGTATCCCCTGCGGGTTTCGAACCCACGCGCCTTGGTTTCCCAAGCCAAGGCACTACCAGGTGGCCGCATTAATCATTCGGCCACCGGGGCACAGACATCTCTTTCATTTTGAAGACTTTTCATAGAATATCAGTGAGTGTCTCTGAGCTCACTGATTCTATTAGTTTTTTGACTTTCTTGCTTCTCTTAACTGTGTATGTTAAATGTAATCTTTTACATCATGATTTTAATATCTACAGTTGAAGCAAGCTCAATGCTCATAATATCAAGATTTTCACTCAGAGAATCTCTTTTTCAGAGAATTCAGTGCTTTAGTGATGATATTCAGATCTAGATTCATTACATCTGAGTGTGTAGCTTGTGTTATAAAAGTCTGATTATCTATTCTCTACTAAGATATACTCAATTGCAGTATTTTCTGTTATAATTAACTCACTTATTTCTATATAATAAGAATGTTGTATGCTTCTTTCACTGTATCTGATTACAAGATTAAGCATTTTCATTTTACTCTCAACTCAGATATAAGATCATGAATGAAGATCTATAAACAGAAAGATATTGAAAGTTCTTCATTCAATGTAAAATAGTGTAAGCTGAAGTGTATGAAATATAATATGAGATTACTTACTTATCTACACTCAGTGAAGTATTCATAACACTTATCTTATATATTCACTTTCTCAAAGTTGTGCAAGATTCATTTGAAAAACTCATTTCATATTTATAAGAATGAATATTACTTCAGATCTGTAAGATTCATCTTTTCATCAGTTATTTATAATAACTTCACTTTTCTGTATAGAAATATAATAGATCTTAAGACTTGTTAAAATTTCATTGACTGTCTGTCTGTGAGTTCATATTCAATCTGATAATATGATTACATCTGACTTAGTCAGCTAATTACAGCATTATTTTTTCAGTTGCTATTAAAGCTTGATAACTTCAGCAGATCTTCTGACTTAATATATTTCATACTTGAATTCTCATTCTGTACAGCAGTCTCTGATGATATGTATACTTCTGAAGAGATTGTGAATAATTATGATGAAATCTTCAGATTCAGTATAGTTATCTATCTATGTAAATATTCAATCTCTTACTACAGGCTCAAGATCTGATTTTCTCTATTCTTATTAATGATGATGATTATGTCAGTGAAGCTCTTCATAGTGAATACTTAATTCACAGTAAATATCAATTGTTGTTTGACTTCTGTCTCAGTCTGTCACTGTGTATGCAAGGCCTCAATCTTGTTTAGAATTCTTATATATGTACAGAGTTTCAATTCTGATTCAGCAGTCTCAGCTGCTTTTCTTACTACTTTGAGTAAATTCTCTGAGAGATTCTGCATACCTTTCAGTTCAGATAGCAGAGAAGAGTGTTATTCATATTAACTAGAGAAAATATTCATTTTAGTGATTTCTTGTTAATTGTATAATATCTATTATTATATTACTATATTATTATATGATTTCTGTTATCATTGTACAACTTCAGTGATAATTACTTCTCTTCTTTTTATTCTTCTTTTAAGTAGAGAGTGAACTTCTTTGAATCTGATTCACTGCTTTTATTCTCTTTCTCACATCTTATCTGTTCACATCTCATACATAATATTCATCTGAGTGTGAAGTTTTCTCTTAATAAGTGAAGTAGTATCAATCAGATACTCTTTCACTTACTACTCTTTATACACTATCTTTTAAGACATTCTAGAACCACACTGACATGATAACTATGAATCACTTTATAGACAGAATTATCACACTCTGAAAAAGTCTGCACTTCTCACCAGTTTTTAGACATGCTATCAGATGTGATTCAAAGATTGATTGAGTCAGCATATAATTACAGACATATGCTGACTTTTTATATATTATATGCTAAATTAATTAGCAGCTGCTATGGCCCCTTTACACTTGTAAGCAAGTTCGGAAGCGGCCGCGTTATTATCCGATGGTCATATGTTCTTCCGAACCGCCGTATGTTCTTCCGAACCACAATAGTTGACTCTATAGATATAGGAAAAACTCTGAGAACTAAAGATTCTCAGATAGATGTCATAGTCTCTGACTGTATACATCTATAATTGAAGAATAATAATAATAATAACTCTAGAGAATAATGTGATATTTTCTTCAGAGAGTGAGATCAAGTTAGTCTTAGTATAAATATGTGAGACTATATCAGTCTGTTAGAGCTTAACTGATTCAAACTTATAATCAGATTGAGTGATTTAAATTGTAATATAACAGAACTGAAGTGATGACTAGTCAGTAATATTATATAGAAGTAGTTGTTTGAAAAGCTGTATAAGTGAGCTTGACTATCTTACTTAGACTGGCTGCTGAGACCATGAATTTCATGTTTGATTTCATTTAATCTAGTCTCATACATTTCTTGATGTGAATCCCGCTGAGACTAATCATTAAATAAACATGCAAAGTAACTATATATCAGATCTCAAAATGAAACCATGACTTGAAAAAAATGAGAAAGTGATCTCATTTAATCTCATTTAGTTTCATTCTTGATATAAAGTTACTATTTTTAGACATTTTAAGGTTTTTTTTAGACTATTTTTAATTTTTTAAAAAGTAATGCTTTTTGATAACACTCAAATGAGATTTAAAGTCATTTAAAGCAATAAAAATAATTTAAATTGAGAAGTGAAAATTATAATCTCATTTGAAAAATGTGATAAGAGTAGACAGTAAGTCTCACTGAGACAGTATAAGACTACTATTTAATGTTAGAACCATGTAATGAGATCTGTTAAATTGATAATGAGACTATCAAAAATTCTGATTCTGATCTCAGACACGGTCACACAGTCAGTCTAATCTTACTTGAATAGTGAGCTCATAGACTACAGAATTATTATAAGAATATCACAGATATAATACTTAGTATACTAAGAAGATTGTATAAGATATATAGTAACTCTTATATATATTTCAGTAGAAGAAAAAAAAATGAATTACTGATCTTTTTAATAAGAAGTCAGTATTTAGCTATTCTATATAGATAATAAGCAGATACTCTTCTCTCATTTCATGAGTGAGAATAGTTAGAGTGATATCTCAGCAGTGTCTCACTATTAAGAAAGAGTAATCTGCTAATCTCATATAAAAGTAAGATTCTTATATTTATTAATCAGATCTTTCTATGATATATCTGAATAATATTATAGAGTGATTAAAAACTAGTTCAGACAGAATGAAATTATCTGTATAAAAGTGATGAGTTATATGAAACAGAAATGTAATATTACTGAAGATATTTTATTAGATCTGCTTTTATCTTATTATCTACAGAGTTATCTTTACTAATCTTTATTTACTTAAGCTTATACTGAAGTCTTGTAATTTCTAGTCTTATATAAGTCTTCTTACTTACAAAGCTATTATTATTTTAATTATTTAAACTCTCTATATTATCTGATATCTCACTGATATCTTTAACTAAGTTTTTATATTTATTAAACTTATCAGACTATTTCTTTATAATAATTTTATTCAGCTTAAATACTCTGAGAGCTGTCTTTTAATTTATTATTAATATTAACAGTGATCTGTGATCTTGTATTTACTACTCTAATATTTTCTCATTTCTCTATTTTAAAAATATATATTCTTTTATTAAGTTAGATATTTCTCTGAATCTTAAATTAATTATAAGTTCAATCAATTATAAAAAACATCTAGACATGTGTAAAAATATATGAAGATGTAGTTAGTATATTATTACAGTTATTTATTGCTTACAAAGAGCTTCATAATCTCTTGAAGTATAATGTTGTTATGTTGTAATCTAACTACGCGAGTTACCTAAATAGGTTGGGGTGGCACGTGACTAGGGTAGGTGTAGTAATCACCAACATTAGCGAGGTCAAGTTTTCTGCTTCGCGTCGGGTGGTTGATTACGTTATGTAGAAAATAGTTGTTAAAGAGATTTGAGGAGTCGATATTGAAATAAAAGCAGCGTAGGTTTCGCGTCACGTGGCCAGGAATGGGCTTAAAACAGCGACGAAAATGGGATGCTCTGAGTCGCCGCACCCCCATCTTACAGACTATAGAGGTATTAAATAGTTCTGGAGATCATTCCATTGTTGGCGCCCGATTTCTGCATGTGTGTTTCGCATATTTATATAAGAAGCCTTCTCGATGTTTGGCATGTCCTGAGCCCGTCGATCACTCTGGGCCACTCATTCTGGGGCCAGGGAGGCCGCACTAAACACCTCCCTGAAGGCGAGGCCCATCCCATCGCACTAGTGCGGGTTGACGCGCAGGGCTTGACAAGTCATTTGTTTCCTATTGGACACAGCGAGACGCCCAGGCCCTATCTGATCCCCAACGTCCCAGTGGTGGCGGGAGGAGGTCGAAAAGGGGAACCTGGCTTGCTTGCTCCACAAGGATTCCAAGCAGGGTTCATGGAGCCCCTTGTCCCTGAGAAGAAATGTGTTTGCTTTCAGGAGCCTCTTGTGATCTCTATCCATTATTTGTTATTTATTTTGGGTTAATAGCGTTAAAGGTTTGGGCGGGCGGACGGCAATCCTGATCAAAATTGAGGCCAATCGTTGGTTGAAGATCACTGCCGACCTGCGTTGCGCTGTTTGAAATCAGGTGCCATGAGACAGACAGACGCAAGGCCAGAAATAACTGGGGCGGAGGGGGTCAGGACCGGGGCTAATGCCAGCAAGCGCCTGTAAAAAAAGCCATGAAGGAACGTGTGATTTGATTCCAGTGCTACTACTCCGTACTTGAGGGTGAAACACGGCCGGGAGTAGGCTTCAAAGACGCTGGCAGCCAATATCGCGCGGTGACTGCTGGTGTCTGCTACAAGGGAGAGTAACAAGAATAACAACAAATATCTGGCTGTGGTGATAGTCTTTGGTGCTGACCACTGTCACCAATGGGCGCTAATTCACTTATTCATATATAACAGTGGTTATCAACTTCCCATCAATAGATGTAAGTATATATATGCTGTATATATATGATGTTGTCACCATCATCACCTGACTTTCTCGACAGGTAGTCCAGAATCAATCCATCCATCATCCATCATCCAGACTCCTTTTACTTCTTATTTTGACAACAAACAACAAACTTTCCTTCGTTGTCTCAGAACTGCGGGCCATTGATGAATATCTAACTGCTTTGTTTCCCCCCGCCTCTGTCCCTCTCTCTGTCTGTGTCTCTCTGTGTCTCTCTGTGTGTCTCTCTCTGTGCCTCTCTCTGTCTCGCGCTCGCTCTCCTGCTTTCTTTCTCTCTCTTCCTAAACATATCTATCTCTATACCACTACCCTCTCATTTCATTGTAGTTTTTATCTCACCAGCCCCTGCGCCCAGGGCCCCCTTTGGGCGTCTGAAACAACAAAGCCTTTGACACGCCAACAAATCGATCCTTGATCTCGTTTGACATAAACTAGACTCCGGACCGCCTCCGCGCATTGCCCATCCTTTTTCATCTTTTATTTACTACTCCTGCCTCCACAGGCCAGAAGTTGGAAGAGCGGCCTCCCCTCCGCCTTCTCTTATCCATCCTACAGCCGCAAATTGCACTTTCAAGATGAATGTAAACAAGAAAATCGGTCGCTTCAAGCAGTGGGCGGGGGAGCGCATGGGATCGGAAGCGAAAACTAAAGTCTCAGATGACTTCAAGGCGCTGGAGATGGAGATGAACTTGAGACATGAAGGTGAGATACGGAAGATAGGAGGACAATTTTCCATGACAAGTCTAGCATTGTATTGTATATAGCTGACAATTATGGTTGTCCTTGTTTTGACAGGAATGGAGCGACTCCAGAAATCAATGACATCCTATGTGAAAGCGTTGTCCAAGCGCAATGAAGGAGATGATAAGGAGAAGACTCTACCAGTTGGATATTTGGGTACAACTATGGTGAACCATGGAGAAGACTTTGAAAGCACCTCAGAATTTGGACAGTGCCTTATCAGTTCGTGAAATGCCCCTCTTTCTGGTTGAAGTGAGGTTGCTGATTCCCTTGTTCTAGATTTTGGACGGACAAACGAACGTATCGCGAGGATCCAGGAGACTTACATCGCGAATGCGACTACCAGCTGGCTGGAGTCGCTCGACCGGTCACTTGTCCAGATGAAGGAATATCAGGTATGAAGATCATTTTACGAAAATGAATTTGCGGTGTACCGAGAAAAGAAGTTGTCTGACAAATATACTCCTTAGAATGCGAGAAAGAAGCTGGAGGCCCGTCGGATCGCATATGATGCTTCCCTTACCAAGATGCAAAAGGCGAAACGAGAGGACTTTAGGGTGGAAGAAGAGCTGCGGAGTCAAAAAGCAAAATATGAAGAGTCCACCGAAGACGTCTACAGGCGGATGGAAGATCTTAAAGAAGCTGAAGCTGATAGCATTGCTGATTTGGGAGCATTCTTGGACGCTGAACTCAACTATTACGATCAATGCCGAGAGGTTCTTCTGCAACTCAAGGATAACTGGCCAGCTGGGTAAGTTTTGTCTGAAATGTCAAATGATAGGAGTAAACAATTGCCCTTCTGTAACACAGCATCATCAAAGCTAACCTAATCGATACAGCCAAACACAATCGCAAGGCGGTTCATCCAGACGACCTGGACGAAATTGGTCAAATACAGCACATTCATACCACGATCGGTACGAAGCCGTGCAAGAAGAGCCTCCTACTCCAACTTCAGAGCATCGGCTAGCCATAAAATCCAACCGAGCCGTTTCCATGTATCAGAATGGATCTCCACCCAGGGCTTATTCCCCCGATTCGCCCTACCAGCACCGACCAAACATAGCCCGCACCTCAACATTCGAAGGGCCCTCCCAGCTGAGGCGCGATGAGTCGCCCGCCGTACCACACCGCATGAGTCGCATAGCAAGCGACAGTGCAGCCTTACGCAATAATAATAGTAGCGGTAGTAATCACCATGGCCAACTGCACCTCCGAACCGCAAACAGACCTTACGACCACTACCTGGAGTCCCCAGACGATGCATCCTACGGCAAAGGCGGCGGCGGCAGCAGTCCTGATCGGTACTTCACTGGAGGCCGTTCCGTATCGCCCGCGACGTCAAATGGCAGCGTCATATCCCGAGCTGCGAGTGTGACGGGCTTTCATCAAGCTGGGGGGAGTTCGATTGGCAAAAAGGGCCCTCCCCCGCCTCCGCCGTCGCGGGCTAAGAAGCCACCTCCTCCTCCACCGCCGGCGGGAAAGAGACCCATTGGTGCTGCTGCTCATATGTGATTGAATATCTTTGTACTTTCAATACGCAAAACTTGGCAAAGAGATTCCCCTCCACCCCTCCACCCCTTTTCTTTTTTCGGTCCCATGTTACAGGCGCTGGATAAGGAATTATGTTGATGACGATCGAATGGCCTCCCGCCCCTTGGATTTCTTGAGCTGGTCTTATATTTTTGGGCAAAAGGGACCTTTTCTATAATTCTTTTGTTCTTCTAGCCGTCCAGGAGTTGCGTCTCTTTTCTTTCCCACTTCCCCTTTTTTTTCCTTTTCCTTGTATTTTTTTTTTTTAACTCTCCAATTGTGTTTGTCTTCGGTGCTCCTAATAATGTCAGTGTATTAATTAACCACCCCGGGGGTACTTAACGGTACACGTCTACCAAGAAATATTAAAAGATCCTCCCCAGATAATCTGTCTAGCACGGATAATATTCTTATATATGAGAGACTACTGCTCTTCCTTTCGCCCCTCCCCTCTTTCCCCCCCTATTTTTTCTCCTTGGACAACGATAGACGACGAGAATGGGAAAATTTTTGTTTGGAAATAAAGAAAGGGTGATTACAAAATATCCAAGCACCATTTTTATTTCATGTGCGAGAGATTCGGTTTCGGTTCTTTTTTTGGGGGCCGCTCCTACCCAGGGGCTTCAACCCCACAAACTCAACCGGCTGATGTACACACAACATTGATCCCTACCCAGGTCAGCACTCGCAACAGATCGTGCGCGATGGCCCGGGGGAGGAGATCGTGCAAATTTAGATTCTAAAGGCGACAACAAATATAGCCGTGTTCATCACGCTGATTGGCATTGTTTGTCTCTGAGGGTCTGAGGGAGGAACCACCCCCCCCCCCCCCCCTAAAACGGCACCCCTGGAGAGCATGACGGGGAAGATTCGCTAGAGATGAGATGGGTGACGGCTAAGTTGAGGTGGACTTGGTGTCTAGCCTCCATCTTTGGACAAGTAGAGCCTAGACCTTGTTATATTTTGTTTGTGTCGTACTGTACCAATGTGGGCAAAATCATGGGTCCGTCTGGAAAAGCGGGTCTTGTCGGTGCGAGTCGTTGTGGGTTGGATGATAGTACGTAGGAGACAGTCTTGTTTTCCAATTGTGGAGGATGTATTAAAATGAGAAAAAAAAAATAGAAAAAAAAAAAAAAAAAAAAAAAAAAAGAATAGAGAGCAACGCTGCTGACTCAGCAGCGCCACCTGATGACTCAGCGCTCACGTGCCCCCGCCCGTCCTCAGCCTCCTCGCTCTCCGTCTCCGTTTTTCTCAGTTCCTCCCAAGGACGAAACGACCTTCCAAGCACCCGCGACGACTGCCTCGCATCCCCATCCCCATCGCCATCGCCATCGCCATCCCGTCCAACGCGCCCACCACAACGCGCCTGTGCTTCTTCGCCCGCCCTTGCGATTCCCCTCTCCCCCAGAGAGCCCGTTGTCTGCCGCCTTCCAGCTCCCCTTGGCCGTTCTGGTCTATTTCTTTTTTTGTCGCCTTTTTTGCCTCTTGCCAGACAGCCAGCCCAGGCTCTCCTTCCATCCCCAACGCATCCAGATCCCATCTGCCAAGCATCAACAGGGCTCCCCCATTCGTCCCGCTCCGCTCCCTAGCCCCTGCTTCTTCCTCCACAGGGCTCGACGCCCGCTTTCTGTCTGTCGCTACAACTCCGCGACGCTCGGTTTCCCACTTTTCCAGCCCTTCTTTCCACGCCCGAGGCACTGTTAGGAGGAGACTGGGCCCTGTTCATGTCCTCCTCTCTATCCCCCCCCGAACACGATGACTTCAATTCAAGGTGTCCCCAATATGGCCACTGCTAATCTTAGCTTGCCGCCCAACTTAACACAGCAACATGTGCAAGAGGTGTATCAGGTTCGTTGTCGCTACCCTACTACTCTGCCGTCCATTTTGTTTGGGTTATTATTTATGTATACCTGTCGCGATAAAAGTTTTTATTATTTGCCATATACATACATATATATCTTATGCGCCTAAACTAATATATCTGTGAAGAAATTTCGTAAGATGCAAGAGCAAGGTGTGCGACCTGACGATCCAGAATATGTAAAAGCCCACGGACTCCTCTCTGCCGTCCAAAGACAGCAAGCCTTCCAAAAGCAACGCCAATTAGCGCAACAACAGCAGCAGCTTCAGAACCAACGGCTACAACTCGCGCAACAGCAACAGCAACAGCAACAACATCAACATCAACATCAACATCAACAGCAGCAACAGCAACAGCAACAACAACAGCAACAGCAACAACAACAGCAACAGCAACAACAACAGCAACAGTCGCAATCGCAGTCGCAGCAACCTAATGGCATTCCCAATGATAACTTGGCCAACGGTGTAGATGGTATGAATTTTAGTTGGCTCGTCGTATTTTTCACTCTCAAAAACGTGTGACTTTTTACTGACTATTCTGTTTTGCGTTTGATCAGGTCGAAATGGATCAGTGGCCCCGATGTCGAGTGGTGCCAGCCTGGATCCCACGGCTGCCGTTGCTGCTGGGCAACAGTCGAACTCAGTAGCTCAGCAACAAGGCAACACTGCGCCTTCGAAGCCTGCGTCTTCGACTGGAGGCACGTTCTCGCCAGAACAACTGACTACATTGAGAAATCAGATTCTTGCGTTTAAAATGCTTTCCAAGAACCTCGCCATACCACCACGCGTCCAACAGCAGCTTTTCGCGAAAAAAGTACATACGGTAACTACTGATGGCGTTGCGCTTCCAGATAACGTTGACAATGTCGCACAAGCCCGAGGAAGCCAGCCTGTTGAACCCAACGAAAATGCGAATAAATCGAAGACGATGTACGAGACGTTTGAGTCGCCATACAAGGCCCTTGCTGAAACGATCAACTACGCCGATCATTCTTTCCGGAGGAATAGACGTAGAATACCTAGCCTCATGCCAATTGGCATTGATATTGAGAAGCTTAGGGAGGACCAAGAAACGGCCCTCTACAATTTAATAACTCTCCGAAAAGCTGAACTAGGGAAACTACCCGCAAACTTAGGAGTCTGGAATACGGACGAGAGCGATACTCCAAATGGAGACGATTCTCTCAAGCTCAAGGCTTTAATCGAGTACAAAATGCTAAACTTATTACCGAAACAGAGACTTTTCCGCAAGCAGATCCAAACGGAGATGTTCCACTTCGACAACCTGGCCATGTCAGCAAATCGGGCTGGTCATCGTCGTATGAAAAAGCAGTCTCTTCGTGAGGCCAGAGTTACTGAGAAACTTGAGAAGCAACAACGAGATGCGCGCGAATTGAGAGAGAGGACGAAGCAATCCGAGCAACTTCAAGCTATCCTCAATCATGGCCGCGAGGTACAACTTGCAGCTGGCCAGCAACGCGCTCGTGTGCAAAAACTCGGACGTCTCATGCTGAAACACCACCAAGACATGGAGCGGGATGAACAGAAGCGTGTGGAGCGAACGGCCAAACAACGTCTGCAAGCGTTGAAAGCCAACGATGAAGAGACATATATGAAACTGCTTGGTCAAGCCAAAGATTCACGTATTTCTCACCTGCTTAAACAAACCGATGGCTTCCTCCGGCAACTGGCTGCTTCCGTCAAGGAACAACAGAAAAGCACCGCACAAAAATACGGTGAGGAAGATCGATTCGATGATGACGAGTCAGATATTGACGATGATGACGACGAAGAAGTGGAAGAGGGTGGACGGAAAGTTGATTATTATGCTGTTGCTCATCGTATCAAGGAAGAGGTCACAGAGCAACCCAATATCCTTGTGGGAGGTACTCTTAAAGAATACCAGATCAAAGGTCTTCAATGGATGATTTCGCTTTATAACAACAACCTCAATGGTATCTTGGCAGACGAGATGGGTCTCGGCAAGACCATCCAAACCATAAGTTTGATCACCTACCTGATTGAGAAGAAAAAGCAGAACGGTCCTTTTTTGGTTATTGTTCCACTCAGCACACTTACCAATTGGAATATTGAATTTGAGAAGTGGGCGCCATCTGTGAGTCGCATCGTATACAAGGGGCCTCCAACGACACGGAAGCAACAGCAGCAGGCGATCCGATGGGGTAATTTCCAGGTTCTCTTGACGACCTATGAGTATATCATCAAAGATAGACCTGTCCTAAGCAAGGTTAAGTGGGTCCACATGATTGTTGACGAAGGTCATCGCATGAAAAATGCCGGTTCGAAATTGAGCTGTACTTTGACACAATACTATACTACCCGCTATCGCCTAATTTTGACTGGTACCCCGTTGCAAAACAATCTTCCGGAACTTTGGAATCTTCTAAATTTCGTTCTCCCGAACATCTTCAAGTCCGTCAAGTCCTTCGATGAATGGTTCAATACCCCATTTGCCAATACCGGAGGACAAGACCGCATGGATCTGACTGAAGAAGAACAGTTGCTCGTCATCCGGCGACTGCACAAGGTTCTTCGACCGTTCCTCTTGAGACGTCTGAAGAAGGACGTGGAGAAAGACCTTCCGGAGAAAACGGAACGAGTGATCAAGTGCCGATTCTCCGCGTTACAGGCTAAACTGTATAAGCAGCTCGCTACGCATAACAAATTGGTCGTTAGTGATGGGAAAGGTGGCAAGACCGGTGTGCGTGGATTGAGTAACATGCTAATGCAGCTGCGAAAACTCTGTAACCACCCCTTCGTCTTCGAATCAGTCGAGGACGAGATGAACCCGGGAAGAGCCACAAATGACTTAATCTGGCGGACGGCTGGTAAATTCGAACTACTGGACAGGATCTTACCCAAATTCAAGGCGTCAGGACATCGCGTGTTGATGTTCTTCCAAATGACGCAAATTATGAATATTATGGAGGATTTCTTGCGACTTCGCGGCATGAAGTATCTCCGCCTTGACGGTTCAACCAAATCCGACGACCGATCAGATCTATTAAAGGAATTTAACGCCCCTGGTTCAGATTACTTCTGTTTCCTTCTTTCTACCCGTGCAGGTGGTCTTTGGTTTAAATCTTCAAACTGCAGATACAGTTATTATCTACGACTCCGATTGGAATCCTCACCAGGATTTACAGGCGCAGGATCGAGCGCATCGTATCGGCCAGAAGAACGAGGTCCGAATTCTCCGACTAATCACGTCCAACTCCGTTGAAGAGAGAATTCTCGAAGCGGCCCAGTTCAAACTGGATATGGATGGGAAAGTTATCCAGGCAGGAAAATTCGACAACAAATCCACAAACGAGGAGCGTGATGCCCTTTTGCGTACTCTACTGGAGAGCGCCGAAACTGCTGACCAAATTGGCGATCAGGATGAGATGGACGATGACGACCTTAACGACATTATGGCCCGATCCGAGGACGAAATCCTCCTATTCCAGAAACTCGACCAGGAGCGCGCCAAAAACGACCTTTATGGCCCTGGGCGTAAATATCCCCGTCTGATGGTTGAGGAGGAACTTCCTGATATATATCTTGCAGAAGATAACCCTGTCCCCGAAGAGGTGGAAGAATATGCAGGGCGGGGCGCACGTGAACGGAAAGTTATGAAATATGATGATGGACTTACAGAGGAGCAATGGCTCATGGCCGTGGATGCGGATGATGATACCATTGAAGATGCAATTGCCAGAAACGAAGCCAAGATGGACCGAAGACGACAAAACAAAGAGAAACGGGCGAGGAAAGCCCAGGGCCTCGATTCATCCCCAGAACCATCGCGGGAGAACTCGGAAGCTCCCCAGCAGCCGAAGAAGCGCCGCAAGGGCCCCGTACCAAAACGAAAGGCGGAGGAAGCTATCGACGAGACCCCCGTCAAACGAAAGAAGGGTCGACTCAGCAAAGCCGCCATGGCTGCAGCAGACACCCTGGCTCCATCCGAGCGCGCCATCCTCCAGAAGATACTCAACAAAGTCTACCAGAGCCTCATGGAACTCGAACAAGAGCTCCCTGCCGATTCGTCAGATAGCGAAGATGGACCTGTGACGCGGTCCATTATCGACCCATTTATGAAACCACCGCCCAAGAGCCATTATCCCGATTACTACATGATCATCCAAACTCCTATTGCGATGGACATGATTCGGAAGAAGATTAACCGGGAGGAGTATCGGAGTGTGAAAGAATTTCGGGAAGATATTCGACTGCTGTGTTCTAATGCACGAACGTATAATGAAGATGGCAGCGTCCTTTTCCAAGATGCTAATGATATTGAGGTAAGTCTGTGCTTGCGATAACACCTCGGTAACGAGGAATGTTTTGTCCTTGTTTTATATACATATTTATTTACTATACATATATGGTTATTTAAACAGCTAGCTAACCTAACCCTCTCTTCTCATTTCAAAATAGGCCCTGTGCGTTTCCGAACTCAAGAAAGAAACCGAAGCTCATCCTGAATTTGCCGATTTTGAAGACTTGCCTTCATCCTCCGCTGCGGTATCTAGCGTCGGGACTCCGCTTGCGTCTGTTGTGTCAACATCAACACCCGGTGGACAGCAGCAGCAGCAACACCAGAAACTGAGACTGACATTCGGCGGCTCCAAAGATGGTAATAACAATAATAATAATGGTGGTGGTGGTGGTGGGCTGTTAACAAATGGGACGAATAGCGGGGTTGTAAGTGATAATGAATAAAGAAGGACAAGATAGGCACGGAAGAAGAATAGAAAAGAGGGGAAGAAAGAGATTTGTGTATGTCAGATGGGAAGGATGAGAGACAACAATGAAATGAAATGAAGTGCTGTTTTTCTACTCCTGGTGTTCTTCTTGTTTTATGGTCTTGTGTCTTCAATATTGGTTGGCTTTTTCCCTTTTTTCTCTCTTTTTCCCCCCCCTTCCTTTTCTCTGTATGTGTGTGAGAGGGTTGGTGTGTGTGCGTGCATGTGCCCTTTGTTTATTATGGTTCAGAAACTGGCGAGGAAAAATCGCGTGGCATATTCATCTTCTGCTTTTTTTTTTTTTTTTTTTCTGTTTCATTTTTCAGTTCATTTTCATTTCAGTTCATTTTCATTTCTGTTCATTTCTATTTTTTCATTAGAGCTCCAATATTCTTATCGTTAACTACCTATTTAGCTGCCTTGGCTTTTCTCTCACGCTTCTCATTTTTGTCTTCTTTTATATTCTTTGTCTTCTGTTTTTCTTATTTCGTGTCAGACTTCTTGCTTTCACGCGCTCAGTAGACTAGGCATCTATATATATATGTATGTATATATATATATTTAGTTATAACTAGTTATGGTGGAAGGATTATAGGTCTGACAGTAACACCACTACAAAACCAGTACTCCATCGCTTAGTAACGTGAATAGAAAAATAGATAGAATATCGGGGAAGAGGGGGTGAGAGGGAAAAGATGTGACAGCAAAACCCACATTGATCAAAGAAAGACAATGCGGATCAACAGAGTAGATAGGGCTAAGAAGAATATTTGAGCCAAATTCTATGTAATATCCATCACTGCAACTCGCTTCTTCTGTCAAGTTCCCTTGAAATAAAGATAAAATAGAATGAAATATTCACAAGCATATCAGCTATGATTGATTCAGGCGCATCCTTTCCCTTTGCCAGCAGGCTTGAGCCCTGACTTACCCGCCCTTTTATCTAGTTCACCTCCAAATGGACTGACTGACCTTAAGAGCTCGGCGTGAAGTCCCGGCCGGAGGGGGGTTCTTCAAGTTTCCCATTTTGCAACATCAAAGCCACAACAATCATCGCAAAGTCTCCCATGTGTTCTTGTCGGCTGACATCCCAAGGCCCAAATTCGTTCATTCTCATCAATGATTATTCATGGTTCGGCCTGTTGCTCTGATAGTCAACATAGTCGTGGTCATATTCTGATATGGTGATATGCATCTCATGGTGGCTTTGAGATATCATGATGCGCCTGAATCCGTATTCTCATCAGTATGTCTTGACAAGATATTGAGGAAAAGGTTTTGTAACTGATAATGGAGAGTGTCGGAGTTATCTGATTGAGTATATATCCTGGCTGCCATCTCTGCTGTTTCTTGGAATCTCACCGGAGTAAAGTCTGCTCGGATAGATAACTTGAGTTCCAGTATATAATGTTGGCTCTCAACTGGTCATCAACTGACCAGAGACAACCGTCCGTTCGTGTTTCAAAGAGTAGTGCCTTTTTCACGACAGAAACAGGCTTGGATGATTGTTCATCAATTTGAGTTGTCTGTACCTCCTTCTGAACCCTGAAGACTTTTCGACTAATGTTCCATTGGCAGTTGGTGATTTTACAGATGATTCCGAGAGAAGTGAACAAGTCAATAAGATGGGTGTTGACAATTTGCTCATTCTCAATATCAGGGTAGAGAATACTCCGATGTTCTCTTTTAGCATGAGAGAAAGGGGATAGCTGAAGTTCAGCAAATGTTTTACTGACTTGTTCAGGAGTTGAGAGCTCTTCTGTATACACTGGTTTAACCCTCCTATTGTGCGATTAGGACGAGGCACTTCATGCGGGGGAGCAGCTGGGCCCTGAACCAGCTGGTGGTAGTACCATACTATCGACAGAGATGCAAGACCCCTTGGCACTTGAGGGATAGGATAGAGTCCCGGGTACGCGGCCTTGAGATAAGTTTTCCATTCAAACACCTGTGATAAGCGCTAAAAAATTGACAAGAGCGATCCCCCAAGCAGCAGCAGGTTTAAATTCCTCGGCTTCCTTAGACTTCCAAAGGGCCCGGAGAGCAAGAAACTGTTTTCCTTCAATCTCTGAACCAGAATTGAGCTCCGTTGGTCGGAAATCGAAAATATTCCACTGAAGGACGTCTACTGAACTAGCAGCTGCGACCCATTCACTCGGGGTTTCTATAGTAGGAGTATCCATGGGTGGGAGGTTTCAGGTTGGTCTACTTGGAGTGCCACTAAACCTCGTAAGAATAATTTTTGGGATCACCTAATGTTCAATGTTGTTTCATGAGGGAAGGGAACGGGAGATGATAAAATCAAAGGGCTTGAACCCCACAGCCCCCCCCACAGGGCATGCGCATCTCCCGCTGTAGAAGAGAGGGTAAATGGGGACATCCCGATCAAAAGAGTGGGATAGTGGAATGAGCAAAGGGAGGGTCACGTGAACTACCTTGCCCTACGGAGTACATCTAACTCCATTCTCCAGCGGAAAACAACAATCCAAGCACCAAAGGGGGTGGTTAACCTGCCACTCATCAGCAACAAAATAATTCTTAAGATGTTGCCAACTATATGGAATCACAGTACAAGCAAACCGAAATAGCTTCGCGAGGATGGAGGCCCATTATTACCAGGCTGGGCCATTCTGAAACACAACATTGATCATGTCTACTTGACAGATCAAGACCTTGACCTTCTCGGGACCAGGCTCTCCAAGCTTGACTTAGAAGATGACAATGGAGCATGCTTTTTCCAGCCGATATCTACGCACGAGTACCAGAAAATACCAAAACAATATCCGGATTTCAGATGCCGGTTTGACTACACCGATTCCCCATTTCATATTGGGATGCACTTGAAGTCTGTGGTTGAGGATTCTCACCTTTGTGGCAAGGAGATGTTGGTTTCTGAGTATAGCAAGTGGTGTAAAGTGAGATAGGTATTAATTAACTCCTTGTGATAAAAGATCTTTGTTTCTGTAACAAAGCTAACTAACTAATTGCTCCACTTACAATGGGCTACAGCCCGAACCAACGTATACTTGAAACTGCCCAGTACGAGTTTCAAAATCCCAGGTTCCACAGTCTTTATGAGTGGAGATTGCTACGATCGTTTGGTCTAAAGCCAGAAGTCCGGAAAAGATCGCGTAATTGTCCACATCAATTTGTGGTGACTTCCCACGGATTGCAGGCAACAAAAGACACTGAAGGCAAGCTCACATGCAGTGAAGCTCTCCCACTTGTCAATCTCATCCAGGCTCAGTTACTGCACACATCCTTGAGACATAATAATACGATTTTCCCAGTATGTTTTGGTATTCCTCTCTAACATCCATTAATCTGAGTATGACTTGATGTAAAATCTCATTTGAACACCATATAAGATGTCTCAAGCTTGCTGCACTAGTTCTGAGCTAATAATCGCAGGTTCTCATGGCGTCATTCATGGGTGCCAGATTACGCTTCATTGAAGCTTATTCTGATGGCAGTGAGCATCCGTACATCCGTATGAGCAGGTTGATTGATTACTTCAAGTTCAACCATGGACTTGATGCTTCGCTGGTTTTTGAACAGCTCTGTTGGAAAGACAATGGACTCTCCAAACATCAGCCATTGTCAACGCGAGGGGCTGTGCATACCTAGAGATGGTAATGCCAGGATCTGGAATGATTGGTGTGGCACTGGTGACTTCATTTGGTGGATAGAAATTGATTCTATCCAAATATCCTTTTTCCTTTTCTTTTCTAATTTTAATAATCTGTTCCCGGGGATGGAATTGCGTCTCTGTCATCCGTGAAAGGGAAGGCTGGGAAAGTATCAACCCCGGCTGCTCGAAGCAAGAGATATTATATCAAATTCTTTTTTAACAAGTTTATTGTATTTTGTTAGTCTGGAATGTCATTCACAGGTTAAAAGGGTGATGCTCCGGGTGAACAGCGGGACCGGTAGGCATTGTCTAAACCATTAGATTGATGGTTATTTAGCAATGGGGACTCAGCTATTTTCATACTAAACAAACCACCATCCAGTCCATTTGGGTGCTTACATAGAACCGAAGCCCAGAAAACCCAGCCAACTCATTATCAATACCACGCAAAACCTCAGACCGAAAGTAGTGTCATGCTTTTCATGTCAAGAGTGGTGGAGCATCCACTAGGTATAATCGATGATGATGAACGGTCACGGGAGGGTGTTAAATCAAAAAAAAGAGCAGACGGGCCTCAGGATCGAGACAAGAAAGTTGGGTGTCTCCCCAGGCGGCTGGTAGCTCTAGAGTGAGTATGTGTATAAGGGCTGACTGTCAGAGCTCTGGGACTTGGATCTAGTGATATCACTGATATGTAACAAGTTTTTACATATAGTGTCGTCTGAGCATATTAAAATGTTTCTCAATTGTGTCTCGGACGGCCCGGGACGTATTGAGAAATCAAATCTTTTGCATATTCATTTCTTTTTGCCTTGCTACTATGTTAGATGTATTCCAATTTCCATGGCAATCCGCGAAATCTCATCGAGCCCTTGCGGTGGTGGTGCACTTAAGCTCACCTCTTCTCCCTTGTCACGCTTCATGAGCTGCTGCACTAGACCAAGTTAGAAGCGAGAGGACGGATTGTGAGAATGACAGAAATGGTTTTCTAAAAGGGTTTTCTTTCTTTCTTTCCTTTTTTCTTTTTTTTTTTTTCCTTTTTTCCTTTTTTCTTTCTTTCTTTTATTTTATTTTATTTTATTTTATTTTATTTTATTTTATTTTATTTTTTTTGCTGTTACAGAAGTAGAAATTCATATAAAGCAGTTGAGCGCCTTGGCAAAGGAGATGCATGTATATTCAGAAAAGGAACAGTGTAAGAGACAAGGACAACTAACGAAGATAAATATGGAAAGAAAACATTATGCCCTGGGCCGCATCAGAAGGACGAGAACTTCTGGTCAAAACACTAAAACCTAATGTTCTTCAATTTTCTAGGAACTATTATAGGGTGCAATCATCCCACGTCACGGTCTTCCCTTCGGCAGTAGCCTGCAACGGTCTGCTACACTCTGAAAAAGCATCTTTAACAGCATCAAAAGCAGTTATATCAGTTATATCTCTCAGAGAGGTATCAGAGCCAGCTTTAAGAAGCAGCTGAATAACTTCAGAGTACCCATAATCAGCATAGTCTCGACTCCGAGACAGTCCCTGGTAATTTGGATCAAACCAGCATGAAGCAATATCACAACCAATTCCTTCACCAGCTGTCGGTCAGCGAAGACAACTGCTCGCTTGATAGCGGCAGAACAGTTTGCTTTAAAGGAAGGGGCACTGAGACACGTTTGAATGAGTCTGTGTGTGTTAGATTCTCCAGTCGCAAACCCAGATTGCGGACGTATTGCTTGCGAAAACAAATTTGTGGTGGACATATTGCTTGCGAAAACATTATTGCAAGAATACTGCCAAAATAGCCAAAATATCCATGTTTCTCTAGAATCAATCATTCGAATAACATTTATATCATTCTATTATCACCAAATACACATCTTTCTTACCTTGATCATCAAATCCAAACCCCCACTAGAGACAATTGCTGCTTTTCAGTAACATTTTGCACACTGGGCTTAGAGACCTACACTGCATAGTGATCCTGAGCACTTGTACTGTACAATCAAATCAATTTAGTACAAGACGCCGTGTGTCTTCATCTTGTTCGTTTCCAGAGGTATTCTCCCCTGCTAAATTGATACGGGAGTTGGGCGGCGGTGAGGATAGAACGAACTTCAGTATGACATCAACAGATGAATAAATACACGTAACCGGGCCAAGCGCCCTCACTACCTCCCATCACTTACTAGGCTATTCCATATTTAAAGCAGCGGGGATGTCTTTATCAAAGTTGGGTGTGACTGCGGAATTCCCCACCATGCCGCTAGGACAGTTTTCATTGACGAGAAAGGTAGGCCGCCGTAAGAAGATACCACCTGTAAGATCGATAGCTGCATATTAATAGAAATGTAATCTCCTGTAACGTGTTTAATTCATCTGGAATGGCTCTAGTCTGCGCAGGCTTGGAAGTTCAGAGGCTAACAGATGCACGAATGTAGAGGTGTACTATGTGGAGAGATCGTAAAAGCTCACTGGATGGCCTACAAACGCGGAGGAAAAGGTGGAGGTGGGATAGCCATATATCGTCTATATAACTGTATGCTCCAAAATGGAATGAAGTTTCCGTGTCATGACAGCGAGGCAGGCCGACGACCACTTTCTTTGGCTTGGCCTTGGTCACAAATGAGCGGGGGAGGCTGGATAAATAGGAGCTTGGAGCAAAAGGCTTAAAAGCCAGAAACTGAGATCAGGGGATGCAATGGGAAAATGTGGAGATCAAAGGCAAAAAACCGAAAAAAGAAAAGAGCAAAAAAAGAGGGAAAAAAATTAAAGGAACTATGATATAATCACACAAATTAAATGGAGAGGTATTAATAGAATAAAAAGACAAGAAAAAATGTTGCAAAGGCTGAGCGCACCGAAGCGGTGTAGATTTTATATGAGCTTTTATACAAGATCTCTCCTCACAAACTCTGCAAGAAGCGTCTTACCCAACGCAGCCGGACTACGCTCCACAATCACGCCGGCAGCCTCAAGTGCAGATATCTTGGAGTCCGCGCCACCTTTGCCCCCACTTACGATGGCACCAGCATGTCCCATCCGTCGTCCAGGGGGCGCACTGATGCCAGCAATAAAACCAACAGCAGGCTTATTCCCTACATTCTCTTGCTTGAAGAACTCTGCCGCCTCTTCTTCGGCGCTGCCTCCGATTTCGCCGATCATGATGATACCGTCCGTTTCATCGTCCTTGAGGAAGACTTTGAGGCAGTCGATGAAGTTAGTGCCGGAGAAGGGATCACCGCCGATTCCAACGACGAGGGACTGGCCGAGACCCGCTTGCGTGGTCTGGTTGACGGCTTCGTAGGTCAGAGTGCCGGAGCGGGAGACGATACCGATGCGTCCGCGCTTGTGGATGAAGCCTGGCATGATGCCGATTTTGCATTGGCCCTAAGTTGCCATGTTAGCGAATATAAGGGTTTTTGGTATTTTCATTTTAACCCTATATTTGAACCAGTTAGATGAAAAGGGTGGAGTTCACATACTGGGGCGATTATGCCAGGGCAATTCGGACCAACCAATCTGGTCTTGTTTTGCGTTTTTAGGATATCGGTGATGCGGACCATGTCTGTAGTAACGGCACTTAGAGATTTCCCACAACCAAAAATGAGTTATCTGGATACATACCATGCTGTGGAATACCCTCTGTGATGCTAAGAGATTTGTTTGTTAGGTACTTTTATTATATCATATATCACCCGTGGGGTGCGGTATGGGGGACGAACCAGACAACGAGAGGAACTTCGGATTCAATTGCTTCTTCGATACTTTTGGCAGCTACTGGGGGACTAAAAACGAAAGGTTAGCCATCCGAATTTCAATAAGACATAGCATAGTAGAGGAATTCTGCCAAAATGAGCAGGGATGGGTTAGGGCGGATTGCATACGGGACAAAGATGGCGGATGCAGTTGCGCCAGTTTCCTTCACAGCATCCCTCACCGTGGCGAACACTGGCTTTCCAAGATGCGTCTCTCCGGCCTTTTTAGGATTTGTTCCGCCAACGATATTGGTTCCTAGGAAATATCAGACCGGGATGCTCTAGCCATAACTTATAATGGTTGGGATGCTTGGGTACGGTACCATATTCAATGGCTTGTTGGGCGTGGAATCTATCAACAGGGTAACATTAGTTCACACTCTATGACGGGAAACCGAGTCAATTGTACTCACGTTCCCTGCTTTCCAGTAAATCCTTGGTAGATGACTTTCGTATCGCTATTGATCCGTAGGTTGTCGACTGTGGAAGCATAGCCGGCAGTTGAGGTGATAAGACTACGGCGCTGGCAAAGCACAGTATTCCGCAGCGCAGAAGCGGTTCCACGTCTGAAAACCTGCATAGCGTAGCAATGAAGAACAGAAAAGGAAAAGAGAGAAAGAAGAAAGGGAGTGATAAGGACAAGTTGGGCTGCTGGAGAGGCTGTTAACTATTTATGTTGCTATGACCCGACGATGTTTTTGATTCTCTCCGGCTTGGACCTTGCTCCACGCTAGTGGGTGCAAGATGCGAGGACAGCAAAAACTAAATATGGACTACGCATTTTTGCCCGCATTTTTTGTTTAAATGAGTGACTTCATTTTTTTTGCTTTCTTTATTTACCTCCACCACAACAACCGGATCATAGTTGAGACGCCAGTATTTGGATCTCCTGATATTATAGCAACTGCAGAACCCGGAAAAGAAATACTGCTTCTGATTTAATCACTCTCCACCGCATATCGCCATTATGGCGACAGAGACCATGACTGCGCTGCCGGCCAAGCAGCTGCACAAACCCCAGAAGACGGCAAAGCTGCCCCCCGAAAACGAACGATATATGAGAGCGTGTTCTGACATTGCAAACGCGCTTATCCAAGAATATGAATCCCAGCGAGACTCCACGAAACCCAAGAAGGATGTCAACCTGAATAAGCTGCGGGGTCAGATATCGAAGAAGCATCGACTGAGTACCCAGCCTCCACTGACAGCCATTATCTCTGCTGTCCCAGAGCATTATAAGAAATACATTCTTCCAAAGTTGATTGCCAAACCGATAAGTATGTGTGATTGGGATAATGTCACTCTATTGCCTTCACACATGCGCTAATAGAAATTGCCTAGGAACATCGTCCGGAATCGCCGTCGTGGCCGTAATGTGCAAGCCACATCGATGTCCTCATATCGCCTATACCGGAAACATCTGCGTCTACTGCCCTGGTGGCCCTGACTCCGATTTTGAATATTCTACGCAATCCTATACCGGATATGAACCAACGTCTATGCGTGCTATTAGAGCTCGATATGACCCCTTCGAGCAAGCGCGGGGTAGAGTCGAACAAATCAAATCACTAGGACACAGTGTGGATAAAGTGGAATACATCATCATGGGGGGGACTTTTATGTCGCTTCCGGAGGATTATAGGGATGGGTTTATATCACAACTACACAATGCGCTTAGCGGCTACCAGACCAAAAATGTAGACGAGGCCGTCCAGGCTGGGGAAATGAGTAATATAAAATGTGTCGGAATCACCATCGAGACACGGCCAGACTACTGTCTAGATACGCACCTGAGTAGCATGCTCCGATATGGCTGCACACGGCTCGAGATCGGCGTACAGAGTCTTTACGAAGACGTCGCCCGTGACACCAACAGAGGCCACACCGTGAAAGCCGTAGCCGAAACATTCAAGCTTTCTAAAGATGCCGGCTTCAAGGTCGTTAGCCACATGATGCCTGACCTCCCTAATGTCGGCATGGAGCGCGACCTCGACCAGTTCCGCGAATACTTCGAGAACCCAGATTTCCGAACTGACGGGTTGAAGATCTATCCCACACTCGTAATCCGCGGTACAGGTTTGTACGAACTCTGGCGCACAGGCCGCTACAAGAACTATACACCAAACGCGCTCATCGACATCGTTGCCCGTATCCTAGCCCTCGTCCCGCCCTGGACCAGAATCTACCGCGTTCAGCGTGACATTCCCATGCCCCTCGTCACCGCGGGCGTGGAAAACGGCAATCTGCGCGAACTCGCGCTGAGCCGCATGAAAGATTTCGGAACAACATGTCGCGACGTGCGCACGCGCGAGGTGGGCATCAACGAGGTGAAGAACAAAATCCGCCCGTCGCAGGTTGAGCTTGTGCGGCGCGATTACACGGCTAATGGCGGGTGGGAAACGTTCTTGGCATACGAGGACCCCAAGCAGGATATCCTCATTGGCCTTTTGCGGTTGCGCAAGTGTAGTAAGACGCATACCTTCCGGCCGGAGCTAACGGGCCAGCAGACCAGCCTTGTGCGTGAGTTGCATGTGTATGGTTCCGCAGTGCCGCTTCATGGTCGGGACCCACGCAAGTTCCAGCATAGGGGGTTCGGCACGCTGTTGATGGAGGAGGCGGAAAAGATTGCTAGGGAGGAGCATGGGAGTAGGAAGATTAGTGTTATTTCCGGTGTTGGTGTTCGGAGTTATTATGCCAGACTTGGATATTGGCTTGATGGGCCGTATATGAGCAAGATGCTGGATCCAGTGAAGCGGGATGGTTTCGACGAGGAGTGCTAAAATGGAGGGATGAAAAAAAAAGGGAAAAAAAAAAAAACGAAGACTACCGGTTTGCAATGTTCAAGAGTCGTTGTTTTTCTCTTATCTACCCTCCTCGTATGTATTCGAGTTTCTTTGCACCTTAACATTTCAGGACATTTCATGACGGCGTTTTCCCTAGTCTGAAGGCTCCCTTAGCAACGGTTGGGACTGGTTATCGAATTGGCGTTTAAGGAAATTAAAAGGGACAGTGATGCAGCTTACGCCTTCTTCCTATAAACTTGGATTCATTCTATTGCATCTCATTATTCTCATAAGGTATACATGCTAGGGCAGTGGACGATGAATGGGCCAACATATCAAAGGACACGTTTATCCCCTTTCAGCAGCTGGCCAAGCAAACCTGAGGACAATCCGCAATAAATAAACAACAGTATATGTGATATGAGAAAAGTCTGAGTGCCACTGATAGATACAGATGCAAATTCCCAAATGAAGAGTATTTCTATTCTGAAATCGGACAGTGAGACCAGAGTGGTGAGGAGTCGCGAAGGGAGCAATTAAATAGCCACAAAACCGACTTTGAAGTTCTATTTGCAAGTACACATTTACTCCATGATGATTAATACACCAAAAATCAAGCAACAGTAAAGATTTACATCATACACAAAACGAAGTTCACAATGGAAAATAAGAAAACAAGGCCCACATGGATAGAAGCGGAGATACGGTGATAGGGTTAGTTGATCGGACATATAACGTGGGTGCCCGGTAGCCAGAGGCCATAGACCGTAGACACTACCCTGCTTCCGGGATTCTTTCCGCGTTCAGAGCGTAGTCATTCTAGATGTCACGATATGTCATTCAGTAGTTCTCCTATATTCCCGTTTTTGGTGCGTTAACAGATGAGTAGCATGGCACGGCGAGGGTGACAGCTGCTCAGAAAGTAGAACCGATAGGCTTAGATTTCAGTAGGGGATATTCGACAACCGTGCGTACTCCGATGGCACAGTTATCACCAATAAATCCCCCGAAGCCCTATCTATACCCATCGCCCATCCCGGCCAATCAGGCAATATATTATGTCCAAATAATCGAAGGCAACAAGGAAAAGGAAAAAGCCACCCCCAGCAAAATCTATCTCGATCTTCGACGCCGTTACTTTATAGAGAGTAGATGCTGTTTATTAGGTGTAAATTAATGTAAATAACGAAAGGCGCATTTACCTAGTTCAACGAAATTGCCCCTCTTCGACTCGATCGGACGTGTAGGAACGCTTGTATGCCGCAAAATACGATGAAGAACTAAGTAAAAAAAGAGAGTAAATCGGAGTTAATAAATAGGGTAGTGCTACGAAATTGGTGCGCTAGGTATGATTTCCGCGCAAAAGGGCTCGCTGGAAGGAAATGTGGATTACATACTGCGTACACAACAACAGCTGTGAATATCGACGCTGCAACAGCTGTCCCGTCCTCGGGGTCTTTCGTGGAACCAGTTATGGAATGGTGATTGCTCTGTAAACAGGTTGATCGGTTATTGGTCAGTTATATTCCAAAAACCTCTGAGCTTTGCTGTCATCATGGGCAGGATGCTTCAAGGCGGCTGTGTAGAAAGAGTAGCGAGCCTTTGATGTTAAGGCTTCTCCGCCTACACGTTCTGATAGCGTTTAAGTTTCAATATTTGACGTACTTTGAAGAGAGACCCGAGGACTGATAGGATGATGACAGCGAAGATGGAAATGATAAAGCTGTGACGAGAAGTCTCTTGTCAGCCGTGGCTATTCAAGGTCGATATGGGCTTCCTCATCGAGTATGTAGCTAAACTCTTACCAGCTCCAGGCGTTTAACGCCGATACGACGGGCTTCATGCTTCGTAGGGAGATAGATAGATTGGGGGCTCGGGGAGGGGGGGATGGTAGGCAGACAGCAGGCGCGTGGCAAGCTGCTTTTGGAGCTTGTTTGAGGGGCTGCGGCGAGGAGATGAGGGAATCAGGTCCAATAGAGTAACTAGCAGAGGTTTGGTAAAGCGGGAGAGGATAAAAGTGAGGTTATCGGGACGGGATCGGATGATGTTGTTGCTGGTGCTTGAAAGTTGATTGTTGCGGGTTGTTGGAAGTTATAGACTGATCCGGGGGTTGGGGCTGGATCGACATCAAGTCCCACTAATTTACTGTTCGGTCAATGAGTCCATGAGATTACAATTATATCTTCCCGATCTCCGGATGATTATTAAGGCATGGATGTATTAGTTATAATAAGAAATATGTTAATTACAGTATTATGCCTCACTCATTTCAAGGATTCATATTGTCTGAAAGGTTCAACTTCAGATGTATGAAGAGTATGAGAGGAATTTATTTTCAAGAACCTGGCTATAAATAATACTAAGCGAGTATTTATATCTCTGCCACATTGTTTCATCAGATGACAAGTAGAGAGAGTCTCATTCAATAGAGAAGAATTTTGAAATATTCAGATGAATCTTTCAATAGTATATCAACAAAATATAATGTCTGAGACTGCCAACATGTCTTCAATGATGATGACAGACATTGATCTGGCTCAATGATTCAGGGCTTCTTTCTCTAGAATATTCAAGTTCTACTCTCTTACCAGCGTACCATCTCTTCATCTGTATCAGAGCTTTCAAAATCTCTGTATGAATCGTATTCTTCCTTTGCACCGGATTTGATGAGGAAATCCACAATATGAGGTAATTATCCATCTCCGCCCCATGCTTGATAAGCTGCTCAACCACTTATTTATTTTATGTCCAACCTATCACAGGCAGCAGCAGCAAGAGCGCTGTTGAACATACATCCCTACCTCGATTCCCATATTCACACCCCCCCCAGCATCCAGAAGTAGTTGTACAATTTCTTTGCGACCTGCGAATGCCGCCGCCGCAAGAAGAGTGTCCCACCCTCTTCTTGAACGGATTCATAGCTGCCCCCGACTTGATCAGAAAATCCACCATGTGAATACAGCCCACTGACTTGACACTGCTGTCATGAGAGCAGTTGGAAGTATATCGTATTAATTGGATCTGGACTTGCGTATTATCATGCTTCGGAGGTTAATCCCAGTTGGCGAGTAACTACATTGGAAATTCACATCTGCTCCCATACTGAGGAGATGCATGCAAATAGGGATTGACCCGGATGACGCAGCAAGGTACAGCAGTGGAACCCCCTCAAAATTTTCTTTGTCCCAAGCATGGCCATGGGTTAGCCCACCAGTTTGGTAGCGTCCTGTACATCCCGAACTTACAAACAAGGAAGGCTGATATGGTTCTTGGTCCAATATGATAAACTCGTGGGAGGAGACGTCGGGTTGGGTGAAAGCAACAATCCGTTGTCTGCATACGCAGTATGCTCGAGCCCAGGCGCGATATGCCATGCTACTTCCCCGCTGGGAGATCCAAGAAAGTTCGAGGAGATTGGAGATACGATGACTTTCCAACCTCCCCTTCCTCGCACTTCTATGCAATAGTCTACCGAGTAGTGGATCAGGTCGTTAGGTTCCGGGCCGTCTTGTGGAAACCCTTCCACTCGCCTGCGCGACCATCCTCGGAATGTGGACGTCACATTATTATTGAGTAGCCAAAGGCACACACTTGCCACGAGGCAGTGTGCCTGTAGTTGGCTCCAAAGGTGGTTTTCGCAGTTCTCTATTATTACAGACAGATGGGAAGGTACCCAAACTCGGCTTATGGGATTGATGATCAACAAATTATGGCAATATTTAAGAATAAGATCTTCATCAAGGTAATCAATCTATGGGGTGAATAAGGCGATCCCCGGCTTGGCAAACTGCAGGGAGAAGTAGGTTTGTTGAAAGAGAAAGCTTCAAACACATAACCCACTTCAATGCGCGATGTGCAACTTTTCTTTCACTTTCATCCATCTCATCACAAATCTCATCGTATGCGTGTTCAACGTAGATCGGTAGTTTGCCAAGGCGATCACGAATCGGCTTTTCCTGGTGTAATGCGAAGATTGCTTGATTTGCAAATATGCTCATTGAAATCTAGTAGAACCTATTGTCAGGAAACGGGGCTCGTGTTGAGAGATACCAGTTATGTATACACTTACATGCCTTGGCTTCTCTACTAAAGAGTTTTGATGATGTCATTCTGAAGCTCAACAGACATCTTCTGGTAATCTCACTCTTCACAAACTTGGAAATATCATCATCATTATCAGTTACTTGAATATCAATATTAACATGGCATCTGAATGTGTTTTTTAATACCAACATTAGAACAACTTGAAATGAAGATTTTAACTGACTTTACTACTGTCATTATTAAGTTATTATTATTATTATTCTTTAATTATAGATGTATACAGTCAGAGATTATAATATCTATCTGAGAACTTTTAGTTCTCAGAGTTTTTCTAATATCTATAGAGTTAACTATTATACATTTATCAATTTCAGTTAGACTGGCCACTGAAACTATGAATTTCATGTTTGATTGCATTTAATCTGATCTCATACATTTCTTAGTATGAATCTCACTGAGACTGGCTATTAAAAAAATATGTAAAGTAACTATATATCAGATCTTAAAATGAAATCATGACTTGAAAAAAATAAGAAAGTAGTTTCATTTAATCTCATTTAGTCTCATTCTTGATATAAAGTTACTATTTTTAGACATTTTAAGGTTTTTTTTAGACTATTTTTAATTTTTTAAAAAGTAACACTTTTTAATAACACTTAAATAAGATTTAAAGTTATTTAAAGTAATAAAAATAATTTAAATTGAGAAGTGAAAATTATAATCTCATTTAAAAAATGTAATAAGAGTAGATAGTAAGTCTTACTAAGACAGTATAAGACTACTATCTAATGTTAAAACTGTGTAATAAGATCAGTTAAATTGATAATAAGACTATTAAAAAATCTGATTCTGATCTCAGACACAGTTAGACTGACTGTGTAACTGTGTCTAAGATTAGAATCAGAATTTTTGATAGTTTCATTGTTAATTCAACAGATTTCATTACATGGTTCTAACATTAGATAGTAGTCTCATACTGTCTCAGTGAGACTTACTGTCTACTCTTATTACATTTTTCAAATGAGATCATGATTTTCACTTCTTAATTTAAATTATTTTTATTGCTTTAAATGACTTTAAATCTCATTTGAGTGCTATCAAAAAGCATTACTTTTTAAAAAATTAAAAATAGTCTAAAAAAAACCTTAAAATGTCTAAAAATAGTAACTTTATACTAAGAATGAAACTAAATGAAATTAAATGAGATCACTTTCTCATTTTTTTCAAGTCATGATTTCATTTTGAGATCTGATATATAGTCACTTTGCATGTTTATTTAATGATTAGTCTCAGCAGAATTCATGCCAAGAAATGTATGAGATCAGATCAAATGAAATCAAACATGAAATTCATAATCTCAGCGGCCAGTCTAGACACAGTTATATAATCAGTTTAATTTCAGTTATATAAAATCAGAAAATTTCAGCTCAGAATATAAAAACTCTTTATAAATTACAGTATTTTAACATCTTCTAATACTTTGAAATCATTTAAAAATATTATGATAAAGAAAAAGATAACAAAGTCTTAAAGACAAATATATTAAATAAATAGATAGAAAAGAATAGAAAAGAAAAAGTAGAGTAAAGAGAGACTATAATAAAATAATATTATTAAAAGATAGTATATAGCTGTTTTAACAGATTATATCTAATTAATTTTTCTCTCTTCATATTCAGATATTTCTGAATATAGTTATTTTCTTATAGCTGCTTGAGTTTCTGATAAAAAGTCTATTAAGTATTTAATTTCTATCTCAGTTAAGAATAAGAATCTTATATTTAATTAATTTAAATTATACTTCTCTTTTTGTAAGAGGCCTGCACCGAATAGATCAGTATAATATTATAGGTCTTATATAACAAAGATAAAAATGTTAGAGAAGAAAAGGAAGAGAAAGTGCGAGAATCAGTGATTGAGGTGAATATTTATATGTGTATGTGATGGTGTATGTGGTGGAGCTTCAGAGCAGAAGAATATACACATGTTTGTAGCAGCTGAGAATTGATGATCAGAAATGGCCAAGAATCAGAGCATATGCTACGCGTGTTTGTAGCAGCTGTGAATCAGTGATCAGAAATGAAAGAATCTATGAAGTGTAATGAAATAGTCTATATGATTGATCAGGCGCAGCCCGCCATATTAGTCCCCTCTTTTCAGAAGCAGTTCTCATCAGTCAAGGACTGCTGTTTCAGATAATGCAGAACTCAGAGTTCAGGTCAGTTGATTATAGCTGACTCATTTCATCAGATATTGTCAGCTGCAGCCGCGGGATCTCTTATCAAGAATATCTTCAATCTCTCACTCAAGCTCATTATCTTCTTCTATGATGCCTGGCAGCTGTCAGTCAGAAGTCAGCTGAGAAGAGAATGAATCAGTGACAGCACAGCAGAGCAAGCTTGTATGAAATACATTATGAATCTCTGATAATGTGTCAAGATGATAGTTATGACTATCTAGAACTTCTATCACTTTATACCTGACATGGTGATAGTCTAGTGTATGAGATGAATGTGTGATTCATATGTTCTTGAGATTCAATTACACAAGGTCTTCTATCTTATACTGCTCTGTGAGATCTTGTCAGATATTGATTTAGTCTTCTTGATCTTGTTTTGTGATTGTCATAAAGGCCTCTGCTCAATTGTGAGCATCTTGAAGCTTTGTTACTATATTGTTGATGATCTGAATCAGACTGTGAGAGTTCAGTGTGAACTGTGTGATCTCTAGAAGATTTAACACTTTCATGTGATATTCATGTGTAAGAAAGAACAGGCTTACATCTGTTGAAACAGCATCTCAATCATTGATAGCAACCTCTGCATGTAGAAGAAGGTCATACCAATCATCTTGTGAATAATTGCAGAACTTATGAAGATAATTCTTTACAGTCTGAATTATCTGTTCTGATGCATCATCAGTCTCAGAGTGATAGACAGTTAACAGACAGCATATAATTCTGAGAACTTGACAGATTCTAGTTCATAGAGTACTCACAAATTGACAGCTCTGATCTGATACTATGAATCTTGATAATTCATGCATTCAATAGAACAGACTTTATAGAAAGACTTCAGTAACTTGTTCAGCATTCATCTTGTCACAAGGTTTCAATATTATATCTTTGCTCAATCAATTCACAATGATTAGAATGTTTCTACAATTCTTGCTCTCAGATAGATTAACAGTGAAGTCAATCATCACATCTCACCAGATTCTATCAGAAATATCAAGTGATTTCAGTAGACCTTTTCTACAGTTCTTTCATGAGATAATGAAAGAACAGTGATTGCAGTTTCAGATGAAGTATCTGATACTGTTTGATATCTCAGGTTAATAGAATTCTTGAGAGATCATTCTATACAGTTGTTCACAGTCTGAATGATCAGTCATATGTGAATCATGTATCTCTTGCATTATCCAGATGTATAAGAGTTCAGAGTGAGAGACTCAGTGTCATTCACAGAATTATAGAGCATTATTATCATTGATTGAACATTCTGAGATATCAGTTCTTACTTGTAATTCTGAGAGAAATCAGAGTGCTTCTTGTCATACTGCTTCAGTGAGTGCTTGAAGAAGTTCATCAGTTTAAGCTGCTGTATGTCATAGCTCATCTAATGTAGATTCAGAAGAAGTTGAGATATCAGTGATAATTCTAATCAGAGAAGCATGTATAGTACTGTGAGCTGTTTCATCTTGATCAACTAGTATCTTCAGATTCAAGAGCTGATGCTCTCAGTTCATTCAGTGAGTATCTGTTATATTGAATAATATATCTTACTCTTATTATAAGAGAGCATCTGTCATTGAGTTCTGACTGTCAGAGCAGTAGTGTATTATAAAATGAAAGTAGCTTAAGAACTCAGATCATTGCATCTATTATTTAGTAAGTTTACAGATAGTTGTGAAGTATTTGAGATTCTTATAATCTGTGACTATCTCAAACTCAGAGATACTTTAAAGTTCAGAGTCTCATTCTTCTAAACAGTATATGATTGTAAGAAGTTCCTTGTCATAGATCTCATAATTGTATTCAGCAGGACTCAGTTTCTTAGATATGAAGGTATATAATTATAGAACATCTTCATCATCATATTGTAATATCACTTCTTCTGTCATATAGTCAGAGAAATCAGCTTCAACAACTGTCTTATAATCAGAATCAAAGATTATCAGCAGAGAAGTATTAATGAACATCTTCTTCATCTGTATAAACACAGCTTCAGTGTCTGCTGATCATTGAAATACTGAGTCTTTCTTAGTAAGGTCTGTAAATGATCTTGTGATATCTGAGAAGTTTCATATAAATTGCTGATAGAAGTTAGCAAATTCAATGAAGCTTTATACATCTTTCACAGTACACAGAGCTTCTCATTCAAGGATGACAGAGACTTTCTCAGAATTCATTCAAATTCCCTTGCCAGCTTCTATAATAAAACCCAGATACTTGATACTCTTGACTTCAAAATCATACTTATCAATATCTATCAGTAGTTCTGCTTCTTATAGCTATTGTAATATCTTTTGCACATGTTCTTAATATTCTTTTCTGAATTCATCAGTGAAGATGAGAATGTCATCTAGATAAGTAGATACAAACTTATCAAGGAAATCTCAGAGCACTTAGTTGATATACTTCTGAAATGTACTGAGAGCATTAGTCAGTTCAAAGAGTGTGACTATTCATTCAAAGAGATCATAACATGTTCAGAATACTGTAAGCCATTCATCTTCTTCAGCAATATGAATCTTATGAAACACAGTAATGACATCTAGTTTTATAAACTATTGAGCTTATCTGATCCATGCTAGAGTTTCATTGATGAGAGATAAGAGATATCAATCTTTCTTTGTCAATCTGTTCAGATCTCAGTAGTTCACACAGAATCAGAGTTCTTCATCTGGTTTCTTTGCAAAGAGGATAGAGACTGCGGCAGAAGAGTTGTTAACACATATGAATTCTTTATTCAACAGATCATTGAGTGTCTTTTGAAGAAGAAGGAGTTCATCTCAGAACATGTTATAAAGAGAGCCTTATAACAGTTCAGAGTCCTTATCATCTTTTTTC